AGTGTTAATGGTAGGAATGGAAACCTCAATGTGATAACTAGGTGTGGGGATACTACCACCACCACAGCCAGAAATTTTATTTGCCCTAAACTCATTGCAGATCCTCCAAGTCCCGATTAAGATACCTAAGGAAAAAATTTCAAAAAACACGATAAGCATAGGTTGCCCATGAGTCGATGGCCAGATCCTGCCCTTTTAGATTTAGTTATTTCATCTCATGATGATGCCGCTTATTGCGTATATCTATCCTTCAATTTTGTAGTTAAAATAAATGAACAAGTATGCAATGAGACTACTTACTTTTTGTAAAAAGTGATCACGATTAATCTTGACCATTGGATATGAACTTGGAAGGTTACAATAATTGCAGTAGCCCAGCTCAAAGTTTTAAAAAAAAAAAAAAAATTCAAACTTTATGACACACCGAAACTATCAGATTTCACATCATATAGTAATAAATGATTGTGACCTCCTTATTCAAATGATAAATGGTCTCATTGTATAAAATCCCAAAATAAATTCTGCCACAATTTCAATCTAACACCATTTTTTTCTTCATTCAAATTGAAAACCCGTCTTTACTACAATCTCTCTCCCAAGCAAATCGTTTTATAGGGTTTTTTACTTTCAAAATTTTCTACAATTCTCTTTGTCCGAACCGAGAGGATGGGTTTGCAAAATTTTAAGGTGGAACAAATGCCCTAAGGCCCCCATAATGTTTTCTTAAAACAAAGCACTTTTTGGATCTCAGAGCAAATAATAAACAAGAGTACATGCATCACTTGGCTCGAGTGACTTAAATTGGGAAAATTAGTAAAATGTTTGCTTCTTCTCTGTTCCAAATCCATAAAAAGAGTTTTTAATGATGAGAAAACACATTCCACACATATGAATCCAAAATATACAGGGGTATTTATGTTATTTTTCTCAATTGGCTTAAGTGGACCAAGTTTCACAAATCCCTTTTCTTCTTATTTAAGTGCAGTTTACATAAGGTGCCAACCTTAAACCATCAAAGCGAGGCACCCAGAGATGTACCTTAAACAATCAAAGCGAGGTGCACCTCTAAATCTCATCAAGAGATACAATTTTTGTGCCAAAAGCCCTTACGATGACCAAAAAAACCATATTTTCACCCTCTAATTATGAAATCAGAAGTTTATAGATTGAGCAAACCTATAAACACTTAGAAATTTTAAAAATTAACGGTTTAGATGTATAAGTTATAATATACATTATTTTTAAGACTTGAAATCCTTTTTTTTTTCCCATAACCATATATTTTGAGGTCAAGATGATCAAATGTAGGGTTTTCTTATATCAAAACAACATTTTCAAGTAGATCTTATTTGTTGACACCTTATATAAACCTTTCCCTCAAGGTTCCAAACCTAGAACTAATGCAATTTATATTTCTTAATAAAATAGTTGAGAATGAGAATGTAACTTATTGAGTATATAGTAACCATTTGTTGGTGAATTGGTTCATCTCATGGATTTCGAGGTGATTTGACTTCTTTAATATTTTTCAAAAAGCTTATGCAAACTTTCCTTTGATTCCCCATATTTATCAGGAATCACACGATTCCATAAAAAACTAAAACCAACTAGTTCTATTAAAGAACTAGGTGACTTAGCCCAATTCCTACTATTTTATTTTTTATTCTTTTAATTTATATATATATATATATATATATATATAATTTAATTATTTTATTTTAAAAAAGGGTGGTCAAGTGTCCCACCCCTCTCCTTGGGCAAACACAAAACTACTCCATCTAAGGACTCAAGGGGGTGAGCCTCTTTTATAACATTGTGCCACTTATGAAGTGTCAAATGTCTCCAATGAGGAACTAATGAAAGCAACGACAAACGTTTTCATAAGCTTTCCTCTCTTAAGTGGGTGAGCTTCTTTCAGTTATTCTCTCTCTCTCTCTCTCTCTCTCTCAATTCAAAGCACTCCCCTCTCGTCTTTCTTTCTTCTTACTTTTCCTTCAAGGAAATCTTGCAAATATATATCATTCTATTTTTATTAAATAAATTCCTATTTTATTTCCACAATTAATTTAAATTCAAATTTGATCAAATAAATATTTTATTTATACCCAATATCTTCGTCCATATCCATTCCCCAAAATATATTTTCCGTTATATTCTGTTGAGTCTTTTCTCCATTCCAAAAAATATTCATGTTTTATTGCAAATTCAATATTTTGCTTTCATGGTTTAATCCTCTCCATTCTCAAAGATATTCATTTTTTCCTTATAATTCACTATTTAACTATAAATTCAATGTAATGGACAACAAACACTTACACATGAGACATGTTCCCAGTACTTACATATTTTTATTAAAATAATAAAAATCATAATATAATACCTTTTTTTGAACTAAAAAGCTATATTTTAAAAAAAAATATTATTTTTAGATATTTTTTAAGCTGAATCCGACCAATCCAGCCAACTAATCCGGACTACCGATCCACCTATGTGGACAAGGTTTTCGGATAGGTGATTGGAGGCACTATTCCTTCTTTTTTTTTTTTAACATTACTCAAAAAAGTTTGGGCACTTCATATTAATTGCTCAAACTTTTCATTCTTCTATACATAAGAGTATTACATGAGGGATATGCCCAGGATAAGTTAAGTGAACCATCCTTATTTTCATTGTAAATACGTATTAAATTGGGAAAAAGATGTACAGCCTCATCTAAAACCATAATCTCAAATAAGCCCCCAGACGTATAGAAAGATCATATATCCAAGTTAAAAGAAAAAGGGCGTGGTTCATATAAGGTCGCAACCTTAAACAAGTAGATCTATAAACATATGAAAATCTTGAAAATGGACGGTCTAGATAATGTGTTGCAAGTTGCACTATTTATGGGACTCAAGGACTCTTTTTTTTTATATATTCATACATCTCAATATCGAGATGATCAATTAAAGGGTTTTTTAACATTAAAATAACATTTCTAATAGATTTTTGAGGTGTATGTGTAATTCAACATTTTAAAGTTGCAACCTTATATAAATTTTTCCAAAGAAAATGGATGTTTAACCCCTTCATTTATATCTTTCATTGTTCAAATTACAATATTTATTCTTCTTCTTTTTCTTTTTGTTCCTAATGACTCATTTGTCTAAAACCGTATAAAAGTTCTACATCTCTCTCGTCCTCATCCATGAACCTCTTCCTCCCTTCCTCAGGCAACATCCCTTGAACCCTCATCTCTCTTTTCATCGCATAGGCCTCATATGTAGATTAAAAGTAGCGTCTCAAATTCGATTTCTATGATGGGGTCATTAAAAAAAGGGCAAGAATGGCAATTTAGATAGTGAAAAAGGTAACAAGGGTTAAATATTCTTATCATTTAAATTTGACAAGGTCCACTGGGGTTTTTATGGACCTAGGGAGTTATTTGAAATTATAATTTTAAAGTTGGGGTATACGTCTTTCTTCTTATTGTATGGCTTTTAATGTAACAGAACGGTAGATCAGGATTCTTAACCCTGATTAATTGAAAAAAGACCATGATGATGATGTCTTTCCCCCTATTAAATTGATATACAATTTGACGCACACTTTTTGGGTTGCACTAAAGAAAATCCTAGTTAACACTGAAAGATTAGCACCGCATCCAGGACCATTCGGATGTGATTGTGTGTGCATTTGGCATTATTTAAAAAGTTTAGGCTTGCATTGCATGGCATGTCTAGAGTTTCTGCAAAGGTTTATAATATACCATTGTTAACAAAAAATGGATTAAATATGCACTAATATCGATATGAACACCCTTGATTTGTGTGGTGTCTATGGCATTTGTCCTGGACAAATGATGAAAATTATCCACTAGCAACAAAAAATGTTGGGTTGAAATTCTCAGTATATGATATATCAGCAATCGGCAAGAAACAGTTCATTAAGGCCTTGTTTGGGGTTTTGGAAATTAAATTCCAAGAAATTCTTCCTTAAAAATGAAAGATTTCTAATGATTTCCAACAATTGACATCAGAAATCTTTCCATCATCCGCATTTTGAGTCTTCACCTCCCATCCTCTCCCTCCCTCTCTCTCTCCTACAAACCCCATACATAATAAGATCATTTACTTTTGATACAAAAAGGTCACAATTATCATCAATTGTTAGATTCGACATTGAGTGGTTGAGGGTGTATCTTTCTTAAGGCACAAAGTTCAAAACAAAAGTTCATGAATGTTGTGATACAATTTCATCAATTAGATTTCACATCTAATGGTCAAAAGTGATTATGACCTTGTACAAAAAATAAATAGTCTTATCATATATAATCCCTTTTAAGAATTTGATAACTTAAAGATGCATACAGGTTGATTTCAAAATATTCTCCGAATATAAAATAAGGGACAAGTTTACAAAGAGCCTAAACTCTAAACAATCAAATTAAAACCTACCTCAAAAATTTCACTAGAAGAGGTTGTTTTGACGCCCAAATATACTCAAATTAATCATCTCGACATCAAGATGCATAGACAAGACAAAAAAATGGATTTCGATTTTTAAAAATAGTGCATCTTGTAAAGTATTTTTGGACCACAAACTTTTTTGATTTCCAAGTTTTCATAGATTTGTTTGATCAAAACTATTTTTGAAGCTTTAATTTTTATAATTAGTGATAGAAATACATTTTAAACCATTACAAAGATTTCCAATATAGAAACATATTTCTCAACACTATTTGAAGGTGGGCTGTACTTTGATTGTCTAGAGCCTTGGCTCTATACAAACTGCACCATAAAAATAATGATCCACAAGTGTTGCGCAATGGAAGTGAAAATCTACACAAGAAACAAAGTACTTTGAATTGAAGGGGTGGACACACATCATCTCACCCTCAGCCATAACTCCAATCCCAAGAGCGCACAGGCACACATACACCGCACGCACAAGCGTACAAACTTCCCCATCCTCAAGAAAAAGAAAGGTTAAGAATAGATGATGCTACCATTGTAACGGTAGGGAGCAGAACCAATCACTTGGTACTTATTAACATCTTATTTAACTTTACAAAACAATCTAATTTCCTCTCAGTCCATTCAAAGTAAAAAAAATTAAATGCTTAGAATTTTGGCTCTCTGTCAAGTAGAGGCGGAACGATGATCAAAACATGGTAAGAATCATACTAACATGATTGGGCTTCATCACAAAAAGTTATTTTGGAAATAAGAAACCAAATCATCATAAATTATCCAATTCAAAGGCAAGCTCATAAAGCCTCAAAGATTGTCACAAACTGCGTTAGTGTAATCAGTGGTGGAGGCATTGCCACCAAGGTCGACGGTCCTGTACTTTCCTTCTGCAATTGTTTTAAGAATGGCATTGTGGATTTGGTCAGCCTTGTCATGCAACTCCAAGTGCCGCAACATGCTCACTGCACTCAGCAACAAGGCAGTAGGGTTCGCGAGATTCTGTCATGGCAATGAACCCCCCTCATTAATCATTTAGTGCGAATCAAGTTTAAACACACTCTCTATCTCTCATAGACAAGAATGCACACACTAATCATAAAACTGGAATCAGGTTAAACAATTGCCCTCCCTCCGTTTCTTCCCCCCTCCCTCTTGAAGGGTTGCAATGTGAATCAAGATGCCTTACCTTGCCAGCTATATCAGGCGCAGATCCGTGCACAGCCTCTGCAAGTGCAATACCTCCCTCGCCAATGTTACAACTGAAATTTTAACAACGAAGACCTTCAATGATGCACAGACAGGAACTGAACAAAGAGATAATAGATAAGAAAATATACATTCAGAGTTCAGTGTTCCCACATTTTTTAGCACTTCTCCCATCCTTGTGTCATAAAGACAAAAGGCACCCTCAGCCTGCAGAAACAGTATTGGAGGCAGGGGAGTTGAGGGTTTGTTCTGCTACCGAATGTGAAAACCCAAAATCTTGGTCGCAGTCATATGCAGGGACAGATGACATGTACACACATGCACGCGGGCACACACACAGAGGAACAGTATATTGCAGGTCACTAAATGTTGGTGGTCCCTCAAAATTAAAGATTTGGATTTTAATTCAAGAAAATTGCATACTTTAATCATAAACCTTGGTACTTGGATGGTGCATTGGAACTTGTTCCCTAAAAACCCATGCCAGTTTTGTAAATTTGGTAAATGGTGGCATTTTGATGCTAAATTTAAAAATATAGCATTTTCATGGGCTCCTTAACATCAGGGAAGAATAATCCTTTTCTCTTTGAGTTTGCTTTGGCTTTATCCATGACATGTCATATACTTCTCGTCTACAACCTTCCTTCAAACACATACCAATTTAAGTGGTATCAGATACGTGATCATGTACAGAATGTATCTGGGAGGCTGACAAATTGTTATTGACATAGAATGTTTGCTACTGAATAACAGAAAATCAGATACAATCTGCAGCAGAAGCTAAACAAAGTTCACCAACCACATTATTTTATTTTCTTTTTGTTGAGTTCAGCAATATAAATTTAAACGTCCAAAATATATAGAGTCTGACACTGACTTGGGCTTGAATGGTTAATTGTTAACAGCTGCAACACTACATCCAAAGTTCGATTCGAATAATTTTCCTACAGCTGAACTACACAAAAAAAACTTCAGATAAATATATCTCTTTGTTGCAACGTAGCAAAACTACAACTTTAATTAAACAGTAGGGCTTAGGACACCCCGACAAGCAGGCATTAATCTATAGGCCCCTGATACCATAGAGCCACCATCATTGACCAAGGATCACAAATGAAGAGCGTGAAATCACATTCTGGTCAATTAGTATGACAATCTTTGTTTCTGGCATGCATGATTTAGGATAGGCTGTCTTGACTTGAGTTCAAGCACCTCCAAAAGGTTTGATGATTTCTTTTCTTGCTTTACTTAGGTTCATTTAACGGAACGTTAAGTCTGAAACATATGAGAGTTGTATTGTTTGTAATAAAATGAGTGAGACTCAATCAGGCGACAGCATTAAGGATTTGTAAACTAATTCTGGTGATGAAGATACGACTAACAAGTTTCATGATTATTTGACCAGTCATAGACGGACATATCTACATATCTACGTTTCAATAAAATAGAGTTGCTAAACCAAAAGATTAGCATATAAATGCCTATTATTCAATTTAAAATGCCTTAAATCAAGGGATGCCAGGCATCACTATCTATCTTACTAATGGAAACCTTATATCTTTAGTTTTGTATTTCTCTTGTTGAGTATAAACTATAAAAGGGCCAACTACAACTTAAAGCAGTTGCTCTGCCTAATTCATACAGGCCATCCGTCATATCTTCTAGGACTTGAAATAACTAGATTATCGTAGGGATAGTAGTTACATAGCAAATACTAGATTCAATACCAATTGCCAAGGCTAGTTGACCGATTCAAGACAATTGACACCCAACCTAAGCTGAATGTAGATACGTATCAAGCGACATTCAGTGACTCTTTAACCCAACCATGTGCAGAAGCATAGGCAAAAGCCTGGTCTATTTGGTCAGTTTGCGAAAGAACCACACAACTCCAATCTGACAACAGTTTTACGGTATCATTAGACACTTCTATCATCTTATAATCACGGGCACATCCAATTGCAGCACGGAATCTTCACTTAGGTGCGTATGGAGGCTCTAATCACACTGAGGTCCAAGTACAAGATCTATTGATAACAAATCCTTTCTGAAAGTGAAGTTGTTAGCAATTTGGCATCACAAGAAATAAGGAAAAGTATCATAAGCAGTGATCAAAAACTTGGACTTGGGCATGGCCTAAGCCCGAGTCGGCCGGTCTATCTTGGTCAAGTCTCAAAAGGCTTGGCCGTTTGAGACTTGGCCGAGTCTATGAAACAATTCATGTAGTGACCTCAAGAACCAGGGAGACTCAGCCGGTTCCCAAGGTTTTTTATGGGACCCAGCACCCAGCTGGTCTAAGACTCTGCATAACTCAGGCAAGTTCAAATCGGACCAGCCGAGTTTTAAAACACTGTTCTTGAAGGCTAATACAGAGACCTATACCCTTGCCCTGGGATCTTATGGCTTAAGGTTCATTGAAAAATCTGGGAATATAGATTACGGGACACCATTCCATGAAGATAATGGGAACATGAACATCAAAAAGATGGTGTTCACCCACTTTTTGAGGTGGGTGAAGCACTCGAAAAAGTTCCAAAATGATCTCCTCCATTGCAAAAGCAATCCTCTCAGAGATAAAAAGAAAAAAAGTTTTGGAGCTCCAAAAGTGCTCCAAATCTACTGCCACTCCAAAATAAGATCTAGGCCCTTTTTGGATCCCCAAATCAAATCTTATTTGAGGAAGCTAGTTCAAAAAAATCTCCTCAAAGAGGAGAGAGAGAGAGAGAGAAAGAAGAGGAGAAGAGAGAAGGAGCTTGGAAAATTCTCCAAATCAATAGGAAAATTATGTATAACTGTTCCAGTAGCAACATCAAAAGTACACCCAAAGGAAAAATAGGGGCATTGATTAGACAACCATCTTGTAATCATGACAAAAGCAAATATATTGAGGTAGACCACTTCAGCAACCTAGATGCCGTCTCCAACCAGGAAGAGCAAGTCTGTCCTGCTTCTACAAAGCAGCCACCTTAGGCCAGCCAGCAAGAGGTGGACCACGTCAACCACCAAGGCAGGCACCTAACACCGCGAGTCCCATGCCCATCGTGGCTTGCCTTAACCTGAGGATTGGAAAGTGCCCGTGACTGAAGGGCTTTGATTATTCCCCACATTATGGGGGAGGAAAATAGTTGGGGTTGGAAAGGAGACAAGTGTTATTCCAAGCCCTCCATTGTATCATTTTTTTACCCAAAAAACCTTGAAACCAGGGATTTAATTGTTTCTTTAATTGATTGCCCCCCCCCCCCCCGGCCCCAAAAGAAAAAACACTAACAATTCGGTGATTGGCATATGACAATACCAATATGGTACATGAAACTCTGTTGGTGTGGTGTGTCATGAAACATTGATATTGGATTTGGATTTGAATGAATATGATCATTGAGATTCCGTTGTTTGACTCACACTAAAACAAGGACAAACATAATATGGACATCTTTTAGCACAAATCAACCAATACACAATCTAACATTTTAATCAAAAAACAGGCCCTCCATGTTCCAGACCTGGGACACCTCAAGCCTGAGCTTGCTGCCTAGGCAGCTAGGACTCTTAGAAGTGCATGTTGTATATTTGTATTTACACTCTGGTTGCACGCACACCAGCAGAACATTCTCACATTTTTTATTATGATCAAAGGAGAAGATTAAGTGACAATCTATCTTGATATACATTTTCACATAACATATTGGACTCAAATCATCACTTTGAAGAAGTGAACATGAGATAATGTCAACACCAAGATCAATCAAGAGATGTCTAAGCCAAACTGCATCACTAGATATAACTGAAACAATTTTATACTCAGTTCAGCACTGGATTTGAAATTTTATCATGTTTCTTGGTACTAACATGAAATAAATATCCCCAAGAAAGACAATCATGCAGTAGATCTTTTGGGGGCACACACACACATACACACGTGCATGCACACATACACATGCACAAAGACTCAGACGCTATCCAACCAGTACAAGAGGCCCCATTCATAAACAGTCTTGATGCACAACCTAAATGTCATTAGTGATTATGAGTAGTGAGCAGCTGCCACCATATAGCAGGTTTTATAACTAGACCATTTTCAACAGAAACTAATGTGATTATTTTGCTTTATTTAAAGCATTAATATTTCCATTTTATGACAAGAAGATTAGCATGGCCCCTGTGCAAGGATGACACAAACAAATAGAGACAAGAAAAGGGAAAAGATATGAATCTTTTTAACTATTACACAAATTTTAAACTTTAAAATCAGAAGCTAATAAAGAATCTAAGAGAACAATAATACCATGTCCACAAAAGATCTTTATTTGCAATAAGACTGTGCATACAGGTCTCAAAAAAATTTAGAACTTAATTCAAATTTTCTCAATGTTTTATTATCCAAAAAACAGTTTCTCAATGTTATTCTCATTTTCTTTTGATACACAACAGGAAGTGTCACATCAACTTTCATGGAATGCAGCGTAAGGAACATCAACCTCAGAATAAATCGAGGGAGAATAAAGTAAGGTTGTTTGGACATCCCAACAAGTCCTGTAAGGCAAGCAGTTATCTATTAAAGCATGCAGTTCTTTGGTAATGAAGGGGAAAAAAGTTGTTTATTTCTTTTTCTTTTTTAGATCTATGGGTGTTTTAGTGGTTTCTTTGCCTAGTAGGGTACCAAAAGCCCACCAATGAATATAGGAGACAATCAGGGTCACCATATTTCACTCCTAAATGGGCAGCAGGGAAAAAATGGCCCTCTTAAAGAAATTGAAACTTGGTCCCTCAATATGGATCCTGAAGGAAGATACTTAGTTCAATGTTGCACCAAGATTTATCGAAATAACTATTTAACAGAAAAAAAATGACGGTATTTTTATGCTCGATGTTAAGTAAAAGAGCCATGAAGTAAAACAAAATCCATTCGGCTGTCAATTTGCTGTGATCCCCAACAGACATCATTTTGACACCAACTTCAGCATAAATATCACCTAAATTGTCAGTACTGCATCCATTTAAAGCCCTCTTCCATCCATTCCACAATATCCTAATATCCCACGCATGCCATTATATACTGCAACCTTCCTGTTTACAGTCGTCTAACCGAATCAATCTTTCATGTCTCCAAAGTTATATTTGGAGACATTCATTTCCTTTCTTACTTTAGTATCTTCTACGGAACCTACACTCCAGCTAGAGCATAGTGTGTATTTGCTCCAGCCAGAATATCCTTGTCCAATCAAGTCTTATCAAGTGGTGCAGGACCAACGTGTAACTTCTATTTCCCCAAGGAAACAGACCATACAGATGGTTTGCACACACCCCCCCCTCCCTCCATCCCTCATCCCAACCCAACAAAAAATTTCAACCGTCACACCATACTTGGATGCTCCAATCAGAGTACATGCAGAGTATGTTCCAGCCAAAGCATGGTTGCACAACTTGCCTTTTGTCATATTCCTCCGCTTTTTTATCTTCTGACTTACATTTTATGGTTGGTATTCTAAAAAGGAATTTGAACGCATCCAATATGTTAAGTACATTGTTTGGACACATTAACAACTTCATTGTTAGTTTTAGGACACATAAAATCAAATAAGTGAGATGCAATACCTTGGTGTTAGACCCAAGCCACCAATCAAGCCCGCACAGAGATCACTGATGATGTCACCATAGAGATTTGGCATCACCAACACATCAAAGAGTGCAGGGTTCTTAACAAGCTGTCAAGGTGCAAAATATATGATCAAGAGTAATACAAAGACCAGATTATGAAAAACAGCACACAGCATTTGTCACTTAAATTCATCATATAGGACATTTTTATGAGACATTATTCTAGAATATTAGTCAGCACCGCTTACATTCTATATATGAAATAATTATTCACAAAAATACATTTTTAAAAGTTGGACATAGTCAACATTTAACTTCACATTTGATGAGATATATTACAGGATATTAGTTTAGACCACTTAAATTCAGTGTACGAGAAATCTGTGGGGAAATTATATCATTGAAAGTCGGACATAGTCAGCATTTAACTTGAAACAGAACTGAGCATACCATCATACAACAATTATCAATTATGACCTCCTCATAGGTGATTTCAGGGTACTTTTCTGCAACTTCACGACAGCACTGCAAGAACAGAACAAGAAAACCAACCAGATATGAGGAGATGCTCACAGCAGAGATGGGTGAGGGAGTAAAATAAACTCAATCCTAAAATTTGGTAAACTAAAAGGTCAGCTACTATATCTCACACCTTAAGAAAAAGTCCATCAGTCTTCCTCATAATGTTGGCTTTGTGGATAGCAGACACCCTTTGCCTTCCATGTGTCTTAGCATAGTGGAAAGCATATTCTGCCACTCTTAAGCTGGCCTGGCGAGTAATTATCTTGAGACTTTCAACCACACCTCTCACCACCTACCACATATCAAAAAAAATACAAGTTCAGTAAATATAGCCCGGATTAACAAGAAAAACTACAATTATCTTGATATGTGTACTTGGGGTGAGATACATTGATGTAGAGAATAATAAATAGAGACTCACTTGATGCTCTAGGCCACTATACTCGCCTTCCGTGTTTTCACGAATGGTGACCAGATTAACATCATCATATCGCGTTTTGTAGCCAGGAAGGCTGTAGCAAGGTCTGACATTAGCATACAAACCAAGTTCCTTACGCAGAGTAAGGTTCAATGATCTATGGCCCTTCCCAATCGGTGTAGCCATGGGCCCTTTCAAGCCAACACCATTCCTTCTAACTGATTCCAAACTCTCCCATGTCAGGAAACTCTCTGTTCGAGGATCAACTTTGTCCCCCACAAAGTGATCTTCCCATTCAATTGGCACTTGGGCAGCAGAAAATACCTATATACATAGAATTACTATGAACGCCAAAACTGAATTGATATACTTTTTGAACCAGTTCAAGGTATAGATATACTATCAAATCAGTATTCAACACAGTAAATAAAGACATTCATCATCAAAGCAGAAACCAACTAAACATCACAAAATGAACTATCATATGACAAAACATTGTAAGTCAAAATAATACAACTTCGTAGTCAGATAACAACATATGGCATAAATAAGGTTCACTAAATTGATACAAAACAAAAAAAATTGAATAGCAATTTAATGAAATGCAAATTCTAGGTGTTCCCCTTAGATACATGGAAGATTTGAAATACAGAAACGCATCTCTGGAAGGCATTCTTGGTTTCCAAAACTAAATGTGGGCAATAATATCTTTGTAAATAATAATAATAAATAATAAATAAAAATTGTCTTTTTTTTTAAGTATAAACAGATTGCATTTCAAACAAATCACACAGTCAACAGACAAGATTTAAGATCACAAGACTATCAGCAAGTTGACAAGGTTCTGTAAATTCCTTCCATAAAACACATGAATCCTAGAGAATGTAAAATATTTTTCATCACTAGACTGAAAATATCAAATTACAGAGCCAAGAAGTACATGGATAGTATTGTTTATCTACTTCCAAACACAAGAATGTGAATCCAGGTTTTATGCACAGACGAATGGTAACCAAAACTGACAAAATTGCAAATTTAGAAACCAAATAATGCTCCATGACAAAGTGACCCAACCCAAAGTTTAACTCCTGCTGATCATATCCAACCTTCAATTCTTTATTGAAAGTTTACATGAATTGGAGAATGGTCTTGATATAAGACTGCTAGTATGTAACCTCTCTATATTAGCTTGTGGCACATGCACAGAAAAAAAGGATTGAGCAAAATTAAATGAATAAGTTGAAAAATATTTTGAAATAAATGAAAGTGGGAACAATAAAATAATAAAAAAACAGATTTAATAATATTAGTGTACATTCTTTAATCAGCATTTTGACAATTTCTAGAAGATAATGCCAGTTTTACTATTACAATTTTCAGAAAATATTACACTTTTTATTCAAATAAAGTAATGCGTATGGGCTATTACCAATAACAATAAGAATAAATTACATATTTCAGTCCTAAGATGGAAGTTCACAGAGAAACATAAGCAATATCAAAGCCTGATCTCTCTAGGAAAGCAGAAAGGGAAATGAGGAACATAAAGGATCTGTCGATAGAACCATCACATCACACACATAGTTCTCCTTCACATGTAATTGAGTCCAGAAAAATTTTCACAAGTGAGAAACAGGAAAAAAAATCAATTCCATGAAAAGAGATAAGACAAACATGAAGATGTACTTCACCAATGCATTCTAGATTTAGAACGTGGATAACAGGGATTGCTTATGAGTATGATTGGTGGGACTCTTTATGCAAATACTTCACAGAATGAAATAAAGCTATGGATAAATTGGAATGGAGCCCATATATTATTATATGGGTAGTTCTTGCAATATGGTGAACTGCTAGAGAGAAGGGAAAATTTTGTCTCTTTGCCCTTAGAGGCATCATAACCTTCAATATGTTCCATGGAAAATCTTACATGCAACTATTCCCTCTAGAAGGGGACAATAACAATAAGCATGCCCCACTTCTATTCTTGGTAAAATGAAGTTCATAATTTCATAAATACAAATCTTTTGGGTAGAGTTTTAGTGAAGTAATGAGACACACATTGCTTCTTCGATGTTTGAGGAGGATGCAAGAGATCATTGATTTGCATAAATCTAGTGTCATGGGAATCAAATCTTGGTGGATCTATAAAAACAAGATTGCTGGTTATTGACCATCTATAACAGTGGGCTACAATCATGGCTGCCGTCCATTTATATTCAGCAAAGACGAAATCACAGGATTGAAGACTCTTTGTGGTTAGTTGAAATTCAAAATCTCATTATGACCATAGAATTGAAGACTCTATGCGGGCTGGTTGGAGTTCAAATGCTCACTATGAACTTCAAAGGCCCTACTATAATTAAAGGTAACTTATTAGACATGATTCAATCTCTTTGCAAGGAATATCACGCCCTATAGATGCTAACAGGCACAATTTTCATCCTTTTATGTTTATCTAATTTCATTAGTATTGATATCCTTTACATTCCTGGTGAACCAACATGGAGCTCATAGTTTGACTCTAATAGGAAGGCAGATAATTTGGCTGATAGTTTGGCTACCACAGCTCTTGCAGGTCATGGAAATGTGAACTGTCGAAGAATGTGGTTAAGGCAATTAAAAGTGAAATGAAGAACTACAGTCAGGACACACTTGGCCATCTAGCTTATGTATGTGCACTTATGGATAACGATTACAAGAATATTCTAAAGGAACCCGCCATCTATTATATTATGTATTTCCTTAGGTCAACTAAGCACTTGAAGTATTTCAAATGCCAGGAAACTATTTATTGAGTCACACTCATGCGCACAAGTGTTGTCAAGGCAGTTTAGAAGAATAAAATAAATTTGTACAATGGAAGAGAGTCACCAAACAAAAAATAGTGGAGGTAAGGTTTACAGTTATACGACGTGATTTTAGGTAGAACTGTGCTGAATGAATTTACATTAAAAAAATGAGAGCAATCATTTATATATGAGTACAAGAGTGGCAGAAATACCAATACCATTATGGGTTAAATACAATAGAAAGCCATTACAAAATAATACAATGCTAATGATATAATAGTAGATTAGTTGTATTATTGTATAGTGTGATTTTAAGCTGAAATATGCAGAATGATTTCTCATCAACTGAATTTTGAAAATAAGGGCATACATGTACAAGATTTACTGCCGATATGTTTTGAATGTGGCTTGAGAAAATGTAGATTGCCCAATTGAAAGAAAATACAGAGGAACAGTTTATTTTTCTGTTTGAAAAGGTTACATAGGAATGAAACTTGAGACGTAGTGCTATGAAAACCCAACTGCTACAGTCTTGACCCAAGCCCGATTCCTAAATGCAAAGGAACAGTTGAAAATGTGAAGAACATAAAGGAATAAAGTCAGAAAGAGGTATACTTTTAATTCCTTTTGTAGATGACCAAGGTGGATCAATAACCAGATGCATTGCTGGAAAGGAAAAAGGGGCCAGAGCTTTTACTTTAGTCGTTGAGGATAAGAGAGTTGTGAGATTTTCAATTTTCACTTAATAGAAATGTGCCAAGAGCAATCTTAGTTTACATTAATATTCGTTTATTAGGAGGCAAAATAATAAAATGGTGAAGTTCCCCGAACTTATTCTAAAGATGAAGGAATTATTTTGACAAGTTCAAACTTCCATATTTGCCACTTTTCTCAAGCCTGGTATCAAATTCAAAACTTAAAATTTGAGAGAGTTTCAGATCTTTTTACTTGGAAATACAATGACCAGTCACATTGAACTGACCATTGTTCTATTGCTCCTTTTACATTAGTGAAATGTCATCATATTTTCATACCCTCCCTAAAATCAAATCCTGATTCCAGAAAAAAATTAATAGGGAGTTAGATGTCATGCTAGCTTCCCATTACTACATAACAAGTAGCTAATTTAAGATGTTTATGATGTAAAAGTATAGTTGCAGTTAAGGAAGCAATATGCAAATGAATACGTATTCTACAGCAAGGAAAACTAAAGTAGCATCATCCTTTGAATTCATTTTTTTTATTTTCTTTTACAAGTCCCATGATGAATTCATCTAAATGCTAATACGGTTCAGTTCACCCATAATCAGGATACGACGCTACTAGTGTTCTGCATTTCCATATAAGAATAGTAGAACAAATATAATTTTCATTAGTTTGGAACATTAGATGATTTTCATCATTGCTTCATCATCACCTATAGATATTAGAAAGTGTACTCTAGAAGCAATAAAACCAGAAGGAAAATTCAGCTGATTATAAGTTTTTGCTAAGCACGAAAATTAGGTTCCAGCTATTGGCAACGCATCTAGTGTACTTATATCAATTCCTCTCCTGACTCCTCCATGAGTAGCCGTTCCAATGTTTAGCAAATGAACAAAGAGAAATGCAAGTCAAATTGGAAACTTGCATAGCTCAAAGGATGTGCAATGAAATTATGAAACTGAAAATCAGGGTATTCATTTTAATAAATAACAAAAGACAATAATGGTGATCACATGATCAGATTAGGAATTCGAGGCCAATAAATTGTTGGCCCCCAATAACCAGATCATCCAGGTAAGAAAGACATTGTATGCAATTAATTTAGTAAATTTATCAAATAATATTCCAAGTTTCTAATCATAAAGTATTTGTACTGTTGCCAAAAACATGTAAGGTTCTATATAATGCCAATAAAACAGAAAAATTAATGCCAAGATCGCATAATATAATACAATAAACGAAGCAAGTGAAGCCCTCGGTGGAAATCAACCCATCGTAACATATAATTTGGTAAGACGATTGATACTAAAACCCAATAAGAGGAATTCAATAGTATCAAACCGAACAAAAAACTATAGAGAAAGTAGAGGGAGAATGCAAATGGAGGAGAGAAAAGAGAGAGTTACCTGCTTAACCGATTCTGCGATCTCAGGGCCAATTCCATCTCCGGGAAAGAGAGTCGCTCGAATGGGTTTGATTGATGAAGAAGAAAGACAAGAGAGGCCACGACTGTCGCCAACACCAGGCTTTGCCAACTCTCTAAACAACCTGCTCTTTAGTAACCGCCTCACGGATTTCGCAGCAGAAGACATTGTGCCCCTCTAGAGAGAGAAAAAAAGAAGAATCATATGCATATATGTAGAGAGAGAAGGGAGATGTGCACAGAGAGACTTACTCCCCACCAAGGATACAAATGACGTCCAAACGAAAGAGGAAGAAGCAGTGTTTGACAAAAGGGGAAGTATTCAATACGACCGTCTACATTGCGTACCAGGAGCAGTGCCCATCGGATGTGAAATTTAGTGGTTAATGGTAATGTATATGTCGTTGAACGGGCACGTTTGGTAAAAAGGGATGAAGGACCCGATTCTCGTGTGCCAATAATGAGTCCGGATTGACGGATCAGCAGTCCGGATTAGCGGATTGGCTGGATTGGCCTTAAAAAAAATTAAAGTTATTAAAATTAGTTTTTAGAAAATTTCTTATAATTATTATATTAGATTTTTGTTTAGTAAATGTATTAAATTTTATTATAATTATTATTTTTCAGTTTTTTTTAAAAAATAGAGTTATTGGGGGGCTTGAAAATAGGGGTCTCCATTTGGACCAATCCTTCCCTTGGATAATTATTGAAGGTCACTCGGCAAACATGATTATTTGGTTCTTGAATCCATACTCCACTCCATTGTTGTTGTATGGTCTCATGGATGAAATCTTGCTTATATTTAGGGATGTCGAGGTTATTTTCACGTTCGAGGTTTCAACTCCAAGGCAGATTTCTTGGCCAACGAGACTACATCAACTACTTGTCTCTCTTCTCTTTTTCCTTTCTCTTCCCTTGACCTCTCCATTCCTTCCTCTCGTTTTTTCCTTTTGCCTTGTACTATTTTTATTACCTTGATGAAACTCGGACTTTTTCAAAAAAAATTATTGTATAAAAATACATGAATATTGGGACGTTATTTCTTATTTGAGTGTCTATTGATATCAATTTTAATACTAGGGATTGTATACAATGAGATCATTTACCTATAGTACAAGGGAGATCACAATTGCTTATAACCATTCGACGTGAAATATAATAGCTTGGATATACCACAAAGTCCCAAAAAATTATTTTGACATTTTGAATTTGGCTAATGCAATAAATGTAGCCTCGCAATTTCACATCCAATAGTCGAGATTAATTGTGACCACCTTGTACTAAAGATAAATAGTCTCATTGTATACTTTTTTTTAATATTAATATTTTGTACAAATTTTGATACAATACTTTTGCATACTCATTTTGTGATGTTCATGAAAAAATGAGGGAGAAAGTGATTTTTTATTTTTTTAACTAATTTCATGTCAGTTCTATGCACAGATAGAGGTGAAGGGCTGTGTTAGCATAAAACTTTGCCATATCTTTTTATGAATCATGGAATTAAGTTATATGATCATGCTAGGGGCGTTCCTTGTAAGCGACCAACTACAATAAAATCTAGGTGTAGTGAGAAATGAGCAAGGGTTACCTACGCCATTCACTGAAAGTGAACCACCACAACAATGCCTAGTTATTGTGATAAGTAGGCAAGAGTTCTCGTGTTATTTTGGACAAGCACAGATTAAGAAGTTAGAGTAAGAAAATATGATTCATCTAGCCACATGGGAAGTATGAACATTGACAGCTAATAGTATAGAGTTAGTGGATCCAATGAAATAAACGAGAGTTAACATGGCGTGCTTGCAGGGAAATTAGGTGGAAAGAGGCAAAACTAAGAAAATTGTTGTATGTAGACTTTGGATATATGAAAAAGATAATTATAGAAGTGATGTAGACAATAATAGTAGATAAATATTAAAGGATAAAACAGTTGATATCAAGAGAAAATGTGATAGGCTCATATCAATTGAATGTGTGTTAGAGGAGGAGATAATTAATGCAACTAGTACATATGCATCGTAGGTAAGACTAGAAGATATAATTAAGAGACAAATTTGGGTGGACATTAATGGACTAATTTAATGAATATCAAATGAAAATATAATTTTTTTAGGAGGGGCCTTAAATGGTCATGTAGGAAAAGCAGTAAAGGATATGATAGGGAACATGGAGGATATAGTTTTAGAGAAAGAAATGAGATGGTCATGCTATTTTATATTTTTCTATGGCTTACGACCTAGCAATAGCAAACACCTATCTTAAAAGCAAGATGAACATTGAATAAGCTATAACAATTGATTATTTAAAAGCCAAATAAACTTATTTTTGGTTAAGAAGGCAGATCGACCATCATATCAAGATTGTAAGAATATCCCGAGAGATAGTTTGACCATGCAACATAGGCTTATAGTGGTGGATGTATGCATAAAGAGATGAAAGATAAGTAGTGAAATTAACAGGTGTCAAATCACTACATAATGAAATTTAAAAAGGGAGAAAATATATTCATTTAAGAATAAATTAGTAAAAGAAGAAAAATGAAATTTTGAGCACGAAGTTAATGTTGTATAGAATGAGATGGCTGGTTGTATTAGGGAAGTGGCGAACGAAATTTTATGAGAACTAGAGGGAAAATAAATTCTGATAAAGAAACTTGGTGATGGAGATATGAGGTTCAAGAGGCTATTAGTAAAAAACGATCATGTCTTGACAATGTAATGTAAGTGATCAATACTTAGATAAATATAAAAATGCTACTCATTTAGGAATAAATCGGTAAAGCAAGAAAAATGATTTTTTTAGCACAAAGTTAATGTTATATTGAATGAGATGGCTGGTTATATTAGGGAAGTGGCAAAATAAAATTTACGACAGCTAGAAAGAAAATAAAATCTGATAAATAAACTTGGTAATGGAGTTAACGAGGTTTAAGAAGCTATTAGTAAAAAACGATCATGTATTGACAATGTAATGATAAAAACTTAGATTAATATAAAAATACTAAGAAAAACACTAAAAAAATTCTAAACGTAATGCATAAAATGATCTATACAATAATATGGGGACAAAAGAATGTGATAAATATGTCTTACAACTTGCAAAAATCATAGAGGGAAAGTTTAGGGTTCTAAATCATGTTAAATGTATTAAAAGTAAGGATCAAATGATGTTGGTGAATGACAACGAGGTCAATGAAACGTGGTGAACTTATTTTGAAAAATGTTAGATGTCGAACACTTTGGTAACACAACATTAGGAGAAACCTTCGATACAAATGAGGCCAGAGGTTGTAGATACATTCATATGATTAGGATATATGAAGTGAAAGAAGCTTTAAGAAAGATATAGACAGGACAAGCATTAGGACTAGATGGTGTTTTGGTAGAGATTTACAAGTGCATACGATGCATGGGCATATTATGACTTACTAAGTTGTACTACAAGATACGAACAAATAAAATATCACACGAATGTTGAAAAAAGTACTATGGTGCTTTTCAAAATTTGATAAAAAAAAATGATTGGCAATTTAAAATTAGAACAAAAAGCATGAGAAAGACGTTAAAATAAATTAAAATCATGTATAATTTGCTAAGTTTTCCTTACAATAGTAATACATAGTGTACAACAAAGGTGTGGTTATACTTGCCAAGAAAGTCACATAGCTATACCCTAAAGATAGAAGACTGTTGCTATCCCTATTGGGTTGAGAAGCAAAGATGGATTATTCTTTTATTAGGAACCTGGACTTCGAAAGTTTTGTTTGTTCCATGTGATGAATTTATGACCATGTTTGAGTATCAAGCAGGCCTTCAAAGATTTGCAAAGAACTTGGACACACGTGTGGTGGAGCAGATAGTGACAAAAATGGCACCCACAATTTTGTGTATTGATAACAACTTTGGCAACTAATACTTAAACGGTATATGCTCCAATAACGGTACATCAACGGTTGATATATTTTCTAAATAAAATAGTTTATATAACGTTGAGACCTTAAACAATCAATTTAAGACGCACCTCAAAATTTCAGTAGAAGAAGTTGTTTTGAGACTAAAAACCCTCAAATATGATCATTTTGACGTTTGGAAATAATACATCTTGTACTATATTATTGCACTATGTAAACTGTCAATTTTCAAGATTTTTCAAGTGTTCATAGATCTACTTGATTGACACTTTTTTTGAAGCTTTAAATATTACAATTAGAGATGGAAATAAGTTTTTAGGTCATCATATGGATTTTTGGTATTGAAAAGACATCTTTCCATACTATTTGGAAGGGCACCTTACTTTGATTGTTTAGGGTCACCCTTTTCTCAATCGGTAGCCATTCAACAATCCTTGTTTTTGTTAGTTGAGCTAGGGTTTCTATGCCTTCGCCCCATAAAAATATGCGTGTGTAACATGTTCATGTGGGAATACATTGTACATTTGCTTATTTTCTTGATATGAATTTTGGGGATCCAGTTCAAAATTGTAAGATCGATTTAGATTTCAAATTATTCAATACTTCAAACGATCTATATTTAAGTTTAGTTGTTTTTTATTTAGAATATGCATAAGTTACATGCCGAAATTATGTATTTATGTAATATATTTTGACATTAACTTATGAATATTCTTTAAAAAATGAGTATCCGGATGATACTATTTTTTTTGTAGGTTTTGAAAAAAAAGGAGTATCTTGATGATATATTGACATGGCTAGAGATGCAAATGAGGGAACACTAACTAGGTAAGAAAAACTAGTAGCAAGACGAGGGAGTTTTCAATGATTGAAGGACTACATTAGGGATTAGCGTTGAGTCAATATCTTTTTGTTTTGATTATGGATCCCCAACTAGACAAGAAAAAACTGATGGAGAGACAAATGAGTTTTCAATTGTAGTAGTCTACATTGGGGCATCGAGCCCATATATCATTGTTTTGGTTATAGATGAATTTACTTGGCATTTACAGGATGAGGTGCTGTGGCATATGTTGTTTGTGTATGGCATAATTTTAATTAATAAAACTAGAGGTATAATTGACATAAGTTAGAACTTCAGACGAATACTCTAAAATCCCAAGGTTTTAAAATCCGCTGGACTAATATAGAATATGTAAAATGCAAGCTTAATATAGAAGTAGAAACAAGGAATTAGTTAGATTAATGACCATGAAGTACCTAAAAGATATTATTTTTTATATATTGGGTCGATAATCCATGAAATTGCAGAGGTTGAGAAACAAGTTACACATAAAATTAAAGTTGGCTGAATGAAGGTATGGATGGGCATCAAGACCATCAAGACAATAAATGAGTTTCAAATGGATACATATGAGAGAACTTGGGGGTGCTTCCAGTACGTAATACGACGAGAGAAAGTATATTAGGTGGTCTGGTCATATATAAAGTCAATCTAGAATAATAAGGACGATTTTGTTTAAGTATAAGACTCTAAAAGGGCAAGAGGAAGGCCCTAAAAGACATGGATTA